TCAAGAAGTGTATATTTGCAGCAAGCAAAATACCACTTCTTGGGTGCATCGTTGGTAAGAACGGTGTACGTCCTGATCCCGAAAAGATCAAGGCGATCACCGACTGGCCTGTGCCGGTCGATGTCAAAGGTCTTCGAAAATTCCTTGGGCTAGCGGCGTATTTGCACAAGTATTCACGCAATTACGCCGAGATGACTGTGCACCTCTCTCGTTTGTTGAAAAAGAACGAGAGGTGGTTATGGAACGCTGAATGTCAACGCTCCTTTGAGGGTATCAAGCAGAGCTTGATACAATCCCCAGTCCTAGCAATAGCCGATCAGGACAGGTCATTTCATGTGGTCTGTGATGCCAGCGATTTCGCAATCGGCTGTGCATTAATGCAGTACGATCTTGAAGGCGTTGAACGCGTCGTCTGCTATCAGTCGCGTCAGCTGCAACCAGCTGAGCGGAACTATCCAGTGCATGACAAGGAACTCCTCGCCATGAAGTATGCACTCGCGAAGTTCAGAGTCTATCTATTAGGAGATAGACCCTTCGTTGTTTACACTGACCATGCGTCATTACGCACGGCAGTGAACAGCCCGCACCTTTCACAACGAATGGCGCGGTGGTTGTCATTCTTTGCAGAATACAACTTTACGGTCGAGTACAAACCAGGACGACTTAATGTCGTCGCTGATGCACTCTCACGTCGTCCCGACTTTGAAACAGTCGCGAAACCCAACATTGAGACAGTCACTGTTGCGGTTATGACGTCCTCAGTCCCATCTACAACGTTGTATGATGATATGAGGCGGGCATACGCCCAAGATGGTGAGATTGTGAAGTTGTTGACACATCTCTCCCAACCATCTCGAGAATCGTTGAAACGATTGTCGCCTGCGTATCGATCTGCATCAGATCGATACACTACTCGCAACGGGTTACTGTATTATACAGCCGTTTCTGGTGACACACCACGTGTTGTCATTCCAGATGATACTGATCTGCGTTTGCGGATCATGTTCGAGTATCACGATGCTCCTATAGGAGGACATCGTGGCCGTGAGAAGACATATCTCACGGTGAGTCGAGACTTTTACTGGCCCCGCCAGTATCAGTTTGTGCGTAAGTACGTTCGCGCATGCGAAGTCTGTCAACGAGTAAAGTCAAGTCCTTCACTGCGTGCACCTTTACAGCCTCTACCGGTTCCGGCTGAGTGCTGGGAATCCATCTCAATGGATTTCGTCTTCGGGTTACCCAAAGACGCACGCGGGAATACGGGTATTATCGTATTTGTTGACAGATTCAGCAAAATGGTACACCTTGTGGCTGTACCAGAGACAATCACGGCAAGTGGCTGTGCTTGTGTCTTTATTGACACCATCTTCCGACTTCACGGGTTGCCCCGTGAACTCGTATCAGACAGAGATCCACGATTCACTGCTGATTTCTGGCGTTCCGTGTTCAAATCACTCGGAACGCTTGAAGATGTCGACATCTGATCATCCAGAGTCAGATGGTCAGACGGAACGTGCCAATCGTGTCCTTGAAGAGATACTTCGAGGATACGTACACTCCTTTAAGAGTTGGAGTGAGTTTTTGCCTATGGTAGAGTTTGCCATCAACAACTCGGTGCATGCGTCCACGACACATACACCGTTTTACGTGAATGGCTTACGCCATCCGCGTGTACCCACCTTACTAGAGTGTACCTCTGGTTTAAGGGGGGAGGGACTCGCGCGAGCAAAAAATAAATTGGTTCACGCTCATCATGCTCTGACGAAGAGGTCATTGCGTTTGATGCCGATATCGATAACATCGATATCGAAGAATATGATGCCAGTGAGAGTGCGGAAGCCCTCACTGAAGAAAAGGTTGATTTTGCTGCAGTGCGCTCACAGCGCACTGAAGCTAACGAGTCATCAGATGAGTTCATACTGGCTCGTGAAACGGTAGTCCGATTTGTGCAAGACTCCATCGCCGAAGCGGTGGATAAGCAAAAGCAAAACGCTGACAAGAATGTAAGGGCAAACACTCTTTTATTTAATAAAGGTGGCTTAGTCCTACTGTCTACGGTTAACCTACCAAAGCATGTAGTGACTAACTTGGGTAGCAGTAAACTACTACCCAAGTACATCGGCCCATTTCGTGTATTGCACCGCCTAGGCAATGCATACACGATCGAGTTACCACGTAAGATGCGAACGCATCCCACGTTTTACGTTGGTCGGCTTAAGCCGTACCATCAGTACGCTGCTTCTTCCGATGAAGAACGCCCTTGCGCTCAAGCATCTCGCAGAGAGCCTTGTGCTCCCGATGGTGGATATCAACAAGGGTCTGAAGAGCAGCTATCTCATCCCGAGACCGATCAACAATCCCACGAGCTACCCTTAGCTCGTCACGAAGAGATGTCAGAGATCTCTCGTTCTCAAGCTGAGCAAAGGCAAACTCAGCTCGATGCTTCGAGACAGTGTCCTCCATTTGGAGATGCCTGTCCCGCTCATGTTCGAGATCATCGCGTAACCCTTGCGTTACGCGATCAAAGAAGCTCTCGGGTACACACCGATCCACATGATCGTATGGAGAGCGTCTTTCCTCCTCCTCCACCTCCATTAGAGGACTCTCGCGGTGGCCAGCGCTATCTAGTTGAGCAGCTGTTGAACCACCGCGACGTGAACGGACGTCGGACGAGTTATCTCGTCCGGTGGCGCGGCTATCCCCCGTCCTGGGATTCTTGGGAGCCCCGCTCCCAACTGATGATCGACGTACTGGGTCTGGTTGAGCAGTACGACGCGGCACATCCTGTGCCGCAGAAGGACCGCCGGAGAAAGTCTTCCCGGCACGGTCGTAAAGGGATTTTTCAAGTTGTCAATCCCTTCGTACATCTCAATAGAGATACGTACGCGCCACCACGGGCTATTAGGGAGGTAAGCCTCCTTAGGTGCTCGTGCAGAGTTGTTCACACAACATGGGCACGAGTCTTCCCAAGAGAGGCAGGGTAATCCCTTCTCCATTGACAGACGATGCAGCTTGTAGCGTGCACCTGTCGGGGTTCGCTTTTCAAACTTATCACGAGCTTTGATAAGTTTGTCGTTCCAAGCGTCACGACCTACATCCTCAAGGTTATGGATGTAGGCGTTCCACGCCTGAAGCAGTGAGGGACCATCACGCTTGTGATTCCCACTGTACCATCGATGTCTAAAGAAAGCATCGATGAAGAATTCATGTTCAGCGCGATAGTTTTTCGCGCTGGGGTCAAGGTGATGGATCCTTGACGAATCGAACAATCGTGTTCGATAACGATCACTCGTCGTCGCCGACAAGTGATCCATGACGGATTTTGGAGGCATCCATGCCTTCTTCTCAGGAGCGAAACGCAACACATTGCGGTCCCGCTCTTCCTGCGACGTGCCGACAGAAGTACTGGCACCTCGCTGTGAAGTGGTGTCCATAGGAGAACCGACACCACTATTAGCGCCCGAGTCTCGCGACCTCGAGCGCCTTCGCTTCGGCGATGGTTATCTGATTCATCAGATGAACCAAAGATGCTGCGACGCAAAGCATCGTCCATGCCACGCTTGGCAGGCGGCTTAGATTCAATCGCCGTCGATACGGATCCGTCATCCGTATCAGGAGAGTACGATACACCGAGCTCGTACTCTGTGAAGACATGAGTGTCTTCATGACCAGCACCTGCATCACCAAGTGACACAGGCTGGGTCGCTTCAGCAACCGATGAGACATCAGTTGCTGTTGTTTCTGCTTCGGCGTCCGCACAGAGACGTGCAGACGCGCTCTCGGCGGCCTTGTTCGCGCATCGCATGGGCTTGTTTACCATGCGATGAGATGTTGGAAAGTGGACGCGGACCAACAAGTGCAAACCCTGTCCCAAATGATTTGGGATGAGTATCCATTTAGTCAATCAGTCACTAAAGTGACTGATGGTTAAGGGGGGGGTGATGTAACGGGGTGAATCGTTACATAACAATTTATAAGAAATTGTTAATAGAATATAACTATAAGAGTTATATTCTCAGAATATTGTCATAAGGACAAATATTCTGTAGCACTTACAAGTAGTTCCTAATTGGTTGATATAGGCCATTATATCAACCAACGAAGACGCGCCACGACAGACGCACGCAATGAGAGGTGAGCAGATAGTTGATATACACATTTGTATTTAGACATAGTTAGATGAAGATAAATAGTGATTTATTGCAGACATTAACTATACTAAATACAGTTCTACTTTTTACTCTAACCAAGTACTCGCTTCTTCTTACCGTCTTCCTCTGCACGTACCAGTGTACGTGAAGTTACGAGGCACCGCCTTATTCTGTCATCAGAATAACTAGCTTGTACTGTCACCAGTACAAGCTTCAGGGTGCCCCGTTACAAAGATGGTCTCCCTGATGTAGGGATATAGTGTCACAATTAGTACACGATGGTCAGCCATACTGTCCATGATCAGAAGACGATTCTATCATTACTTATGTCAATACGAGGGACGTTCTACGATCAGAAATGTCAGCGCTTTAAACGGTCACATGTGTGCATATACAGGTCTTCCGTTGGCCGGAAAGTGAATTCCCACGTGGCTCATCCTGACCTCCAGCTAATTGACAAATAATGACTCCTCCCTGAGCCTAAAGCCATGGGAAATACGTCTATGTTCTTACAAGCAATGGTCCTATAATGTTTTGTGTTTGAATCCACCGGTGGTGGACCCAGTCGAAAGTCTTCGATAAAACGCACGGATTAAAAAGGTGCAAAAAGAATTAGAGAGCACGCATGGCGATGCAAAGCTACATAATTTTGTGAGCCTACGAGTCGCTATGAACAATGTCCTATTGGCCACCACTCTAGCGAAGTCGGATCGATCACATGTCGCACGAACCGGCGGCCACCGGCACTTTTCATTCGAGGCGACGACAGAGGTACTGCATGAAATAAATCGAGACTTGCAGAAACTCGCACAGTTGCATTAAGAGCCTCCTACAACTACGGCATAGTTGTCATTTGTCTTTTCCTTTAGACTTCGCTTTTTTGGCCTCTAGCTCTTTCCATGCCCTGTAATTGTTTTCTATCTCCACAGCTTGCTTCGCTGCCAGTTTCTCTTTTGCAGCATTTTGAGTCTTTCGGTACGATTTCTTCGAGGCCGTCCACTGCGCTGACAGGAAATCGTCAAATTTTTCTAACCCTGACGACAGCATCTCTCTCACTTTTATGACCACGTCTCTGAGCCATTCCGTGAGCGACGTGGAATTTAAGCTGGTAACACCACTCTCCATCGCCACCGTGATCCCCGTTCCGCCCCTTTCTTCATTAGTGGCGTCAATCACACGAAGTGAAGTCTGTATTGCGTCCGTTTCCAGTTTGAAGAGTCGCATCTTGCTTGGCGTTGACACCACGACCAGCTTTTCAGCAACTGGAGCAGAAATAGCGCCACTGCCAACTGACACGACGAGGGTGAGCAGGAAGAGCAGGAAGCACACGGGCATTGCAGCAAGCGACAAATATGATCATAGTAGTTAGGTAGAAGAGTGGCAGGAGTGAATGATGATTGGACTAAAATTTATAAATGGGAAAATTGGAGGGTCTCCGGACCAGTGGTAGTTTTATGTTGGTGTCAGGTGCATCATGGAGCAAAGCCTATGCGAAAAGGCCACACGTATCTGTTCGCCCTTTTCCTTTTTTGTACTTAGATTAGACGTATAGACTTTGACCGCACAGAATTAGATAGAACGCGGCTGATAATTCTTGTGGAAGGTTGATTTACGTGTAAATCAAAGGAATATCGAAAAATGGACGTTGACAAGAGAGGAAACAATTCGTTGTGACACTATTGATGATGGTGGAGTAATCGATGGCGGTGGCGCAAGCGTAAAGTATCTGATGTGACCAGATTGAATAGTTCTCGCTCTTTTTGTAGGCGATATGTGCTTCATTAAAGAGGTAGGACGCTCAGCCAAATTCTCCCTCCGATTGGTCGTGAGAAGAGTGGACGGACTTTTACCGAGCAATGGGAGGCTTACCTTTTTTGTCGTGCAAAATAAATGGGGAATTGCTAAATTCGCACCCCATTTCCTTTAATTCACACCCTTCCTTCAAAATCTTATTCATAAAATCCCTATTTATTTTTAAGATTTGTTTTCTGTGATGCCTTCACCGACAAGTTCCTAACGTCAGAAAGAGGTAATCGTCATGAAAGATGATGAGTTTAAGGACACGTAGGCCAAAAGCGCGAAAAGGTCGTGACATGCTCGGCAGACCCGGCCGTGACTTGCCTTCTTTCGTCACCATTGACGACGCTCGATGTTATTGATGTTTGTGACAACTAACTACCGCTGTGTCAACGGGTTTACAAGATCTTTTGTTCATCGGATGAGTTCACACTTGGGGTGCGTAGCAACAGCGTCGGTAGATTGAAGTCTATGGTGCGCTCACATGAGACATGTGAAGTGCTCGTCGAGACTTGAATTAGTCGTGCGCACGCTATTCTAGCACAAGATTGTGGCCTGGCATCGAGAAGCTTTGTGCAGGAATACTGCGACAACAAGTCCTGGATTTCGTACAGGATGTATACGAACTTGGTAGGGCATGCGCTGATTTGCATGCTGAATTATCTCCAGCACCGAGTCATTACTGTCGTTAACTAAGGCCAAAGCTCGGACATATTGAGACTTTGCCGGTGATTCTTTAGAAATTATCGCCTCGCACTTTTGCCTATTAGATGGTTAGTTTCGATACTCGTCGAACCTTTGAGGTCAGCACACGTCCACGCGAAGGCGCTAGCGCACTAGCTACACGTTTCTAGCCTTCTTTTCGGCTTGATACTGCAGGTATATCCGACCTCACAATATCCTTCAGCACGCTGTTACTTCCCTCCGCATCCTTACAATTCCTGCGTCTATTTACAACCTTCTTTCTATTTTTAAAAGTGTCTGCAGAACAACACGGACATAAACAACATACTATTCTTGCTACAGCAGCCGGAAGACCAACACCTTGCATAAAGTATGCATGCATGCGGTATATGCAGCTCGCTGGAATGCTCTTGACGAAGTACTCTCTACCTATTCGTTTCTGATACCTCGCTTCATATTTGTCGAAGAAGTGTCGTTGGCAGCATGCACTGTTGACAGGCTGATCCCGGATCAGGTTTTTGTTTCTTCACAGCTGCGCGTCTCTCATGGGTTCAGCAAATCACTGAGTAGAAAAGCAGCTGTCGCGTAAGCATCAATTCCTCCTTTAGTGGATAAATGAATGGCATCCTTCTTCAATCGCACTGTATCCATCTGCAGCTCGTCTTCAAGACGATGCACCATCGCCGTCATAACTTCAAGTCCTTACGTTCGACATGTTAAGACACAAGTGCGTTACCATCCAACACTTGACTTCTAGCTCGGTCACGAACTGAACTGTCGTTTCCTCATTTTGATTAATTACTACAGGACGTACCGAGTCTGCACGCTCGAGGAAGTCGTTTATTGTGCAGTGTTTGTCCTCCAACGGTATTACAAACGTCGTGAGATTGCCATTAGGGAAGACAGAACTGTTTGTATTGAATGCGTTTTGAACAAACACGTTCGTGGGATGCGTCGCCTACTTTGTAGACCGACTTAGTCTAATTTACACGAATAAGCCGCTCCGTTTTAAGAGTAGGTATTAAACTAGGGTCTCCTGCTATAATTATTATTAGGTCAGGTACCCAGCGAAGGGTTTTGCGGGCACTTAAGACACCGACGACGATTTGTGTCGATGGCATCGACATCATAAACTCATTTGCTAAGCGAAGGCATAGGTATTGTTATCACTAGTGGTACGATATGGTTCGACATCCGATCACTGCGTAGAGAAAGAAGATAGGTCAGTGTCGTTGAAGCTGACCATGCCGAGTCATTAAAGAACACAAGTCAATGATGCGGACGTTTTGACCTGTAGGAAAGCTGAATGAGGCGAATGAACGTATTGCAGAGGCAGGGGTGGACGTGTGGTGTGTGCATTATTGCGTGTAATAAATGATACCACATACAAAAAGAGGGAACTATGGTCAGCCGCTGCGTTGCAACCTGGACACTCGTCTGTATCTCCTCTTGATCTCACATTTTTGGCCTGCACGACCGTTCGTGGAAAGTCGTCAAGAATAAAGCCACGACGGCAATTCGAGCTCTTGATGGCGTCCAAAAATATAGCCGACGACAATCTCGTCGGTCACAAGTGCGCCCGACTTCATTGCGGCTTTGACCTCTTTGCCTATGTCGGTGCCAGTAGCTACAGCAGCGCGCAAGATTTCGCCCGTAGCCAAGTGGCAGAGAAAGTATTCGTCTTTGTCCAACGGCGATTGCGTATCTTGTATATATAAGGTTTTGAAGGAAGGGTGTGCATCTAAGGAAAAGGGGTGTGAAGTTATCAATTCCCTATAAATAATTCCATTTAATCTGTTAGGGAGGCATTATCCATCACTACCTCAACTACAAACCACTACTCACCCAATGCTAGCTGGGTGAGTAAAACCTCACGATTCTGGCATCGTGAGGTTTTACTCAAGCAGGTTTTTACAGGTTTAATTGTCAAACCTTAGCTTCCAGATCGATTGTTTCTTTTACTAATGTCGCCCATACCGTGATAAGTCTGTCACTTCTGGTGGCAAAAACCACAGAAATGCCCCGAATTTTAGATACGGGCGAAAGCTCTGGAGCTCGCCCTTTGATGAAAGTAGTCCAGTTCAGAGAACAGATCAAGTTGCAAAACACTAAACAATAGCAGTCACTGAAGAATGCGTACGATGCTGTAAGAATTTGTATTAAACCTTTTCAGTATACTTGGACAACGCGATCGGCCTTTAGTGATAAGCATCCAGCAATTGCTCATGTAATCATATTCACCTTTGATCAATTTTAAGCAATCTCGTACATGCTTCAAAATAGTGACATATCCAAAGAGTGACTTCGGATAAACCTTTAGTAATGGGGGGGACAGGGCTAGATTGCTTTTACAACGTGTAATGTACACCTAACCGCAATACCTACAGACACACAGACACACGAATAAGTACGATATAGAAGTTTGGCATTCAACCTTGCGCACAGTCACTACTAGCTTCCCCTTCGAGCTCGCAATAATACTGGCACCTTTTTCTTTTGAAAAGCAAGTCTACATTAAAACAAACTACCGTGAATTTACAAAATGCGATTTTGCATTCGACCTTTTGGTTGTCGGCTGTTTAGACGACGATCTTGAGTGACATTTATGTAACGGGGTTACACGGCGGTTGTTGAACCAGTTTGGTTGTGTTTCCCCACCAAGTAAAGATCGGTGGATCTGAATGGTACAGTCTTGGCACCATGTACTTACAGTAATACCACACCTTATTGGTTAGGAATAAGGGATAAGACTTCTGTCATAGGGTCGCAATGTAGAATTCAGTCAGACAAGACATAGGGTTTTATTACCGTAGCTAGAAGAATAATCAAAGTTCAGTTCCTCTTTTGAATCGTTGGACACAAGTGCCTAGTAAAGGGGTAGTGTGTCGGTAAGAGCATCAGCCTTGTAAAGGCACTTACACTTGTTTAACTAGTAGTGACTAGTTAGCGTGTGAATATGTATACCGTAATTCCTTTGAAACCGGGATTGTTAAGCTTGTACGCTTGAGCGAATGTATGTCGTTGTTAGTTTGTTATAACTGAGAGACTCTTTGAGTCGAAGACTTCCTCTGTTAAGGAGCGCTAAGTAGCTCTGCTACATGTGCCGATGCAGCATAAATTAACTTTCACCGAAGCAGTGTAAGAAGTACCGCATGTCCTTTCATGCGCAATGTACGTGGAGAGAAAAGCTAGCTACTAGACGACGCGGTCAATAGTAATCCAAAGTTAAGCTGTATTGCATATGATCAAGTCTAAATCATTATCCTCTGTTTAAGTCCAAACTTAACAAAATATACCTACAAAGTGCATGTCAAAATCTTTCTCACCACTTATGGCGCGCGTTCATTACTAGTTAGACTGCTGGACTTGACGTATGTGATAAGCGATATCTTTCAATCGGTGGAGTGCTTTTGAAGATTACTTCGAATGAAAATTTGTTCACGTATATTACTAACCTTGATGATGACATTTCAATTTGCAAGTATTAAATGTTAATTAATTGTAACAGGTTCACCCCGTTACACAACCTCTACCCCTCATTAGAGCATCCACACATCGGCTGGAATCCTCACTTGCGGAAACCAGAATTGAAATAGTCTGCCTCGGGTATACGCTTTGCGCAGTCTAAGGTTGCGCGGAAGTAGACATGATGAGGTTAGCGGTCTGCGGCAACCGCGCGCCTCGCGTCACTGCCCTGCTTTACGCGCGCATAATTTGAGGTACCGTAAGATAGCCGTTTAGGCTTTACAATCGGCGGTGACCTCCTCGCCACGCATTGCTGTTTCGAAGGTCGTGCACCTCTAGCCCGATGAAGTGCCCAAGCGGCCACGAACGGCAATATATTACAGCTGGAGGCGTTCTCCACGCCACCGTCATTGTTTTGGTGATCGCGACCTATAGTTTGATGTTCGCTTGGGTGATCACACAGAGCTTGCCTCCGCGCGCTATGACATTCTTCAGACGTACGACGTCGCTTTGGATTAGCGCACTCTTGGTCGGCTAGATACGCTTGTGGTCACCGTTTTGATGGGGCTTCTCTCTATGCGCTTTGTTATCTCTACTTCAAGGGCATAAATGCACTAATAGTAATTGAAATCCAGCCTCGAACTTGGCACGGGTAGGTGGTATCTGACCTTCGATACTCTCGATTATAGCTACACGAACAAACCGCGTTGCAAAATGGATTTTTGGGGTATGTTCTGATACCTCAGTCGATTGTCAATTGCAGTAATGGATGAAGTAGACACTCCATGTAATTGTTAATAATTCTGAGTGATTGGGACTTTGTTCAATGTATTATTATTAGTATTTTTCCATCTCATTCAGACCTATTCGAGCTTGTAGTATCTTAGTCCACTCCACATTCATGTTTCTTGTTTAAATTGTTAAATTTTAGAGCACTTTTGATTCATGCTTCGAAGATAAGTACTTCATTGTATCATTAGACCACTCCGTCGAGCGCCAAAATGTCCAAGAATAAGGTAAACACAGATATGTATGAGTAGTGACAAAGATGTGGATGTACACACACAAAAATGAATTTGTTATACGAACACCTTTGTGATGGCACATTTGGAGACCAGAAGGCGCCACGGATGGTGATGGGGACGTCGACAACAACGAAAACGACAACGAAAATACTTTACTGACCGAGAAGATCAAGGCAACGTTAACTACTATATTCACCGCGACAATAAAGTAACGACAAAACGAACGCAAAAATTATGACTTTGATAAACAAGGATTAAGACACTAAGAACGATGATCAGATGGCGGAGGTTACTGCTCTGTACTTTCCGTTTGTACTCATCAACTTTTCGTCGCACAAGCTCATCGAACCAGGTGAATATCGCGTGATGATGTCGTTATTCTCAATATATTCATTTGAGAACGATGCAACTCACCTTCTCACCTTACAGCAAAAAAATCGGTAATCTAGAGTTGCGGCGGTCAACAACATCTTTAATTTGAGATATTGAGTAGTTTTCCATGTATTTCATTGTGTTCCATTCTGCAGCCCTTTCTGCTAGATTCGTTCTTGTTATTGCCCGGTGCAACTTGATTTCTGCTGCTCTCGTTCCAAACACACTGTCGTCAAGCGTTTGCTATTTGCCTGCTACTGTTTTAAGCTACTGCCAAAATTTGTGACCATCTGTGTTCAGTAGTCGCGAACAAATCACCTGATTGGACAGAATTATGTGATTTGTGTAGTGGCTGCTTCACCGACTGATTATAGGCTTTTTGTGACCGCGATTCTCCCTTCCCTCTATGTGAAAAATTGGCTCGAGTTTTAATGAACACGATAAAAACGATCACGATTGTTTTTTATAATGTGGTCGCATTTTAAATGACGGTATGCTGTAAGGTGGGTTTAACTGCAGAAGACGCGGTTATTGCAATTTAAAATCTTCGTCGATGCGCTGCGATCACATAATAATCATGATGGATACCCAAGTATAAAGAAAACCAGTGGGTCCCTGCGCACAGAGTAGCCCAGGTTGTGAGTCCGGAACTTGAACTAAATGAGTTTCATTCAGATTTTTGATTGATTGATTAAATCAAGCCCAGGACGCAGGAGCAACTTACAGCTTCGTTTCTTGAGCTTACGGTGAATGAGGCAGGCACTTATGGTAAGAAGAGTGGCTAATTTGCATTATAAAGAGGAGGAGGTTCATGACATTTATAAGGTTAGGTGAGTAAGAAATTGAAGTATTATGAGCCACGATATGTGGCTGACTTCCTGAATCTGGGTGTCTCTTGGGTCATTTATTGACAACTTAGATTATGCATGCAGTCACGTTATGTTGTTGTCTCCAGTCAGTGTTCTCATACCGCAATGGCCGCCATTCGGTAATTACTTTTCTCTCAGCATCTATAGATGTCTGATGCGAAGGTCAATTTTGAAGAAGAACCGCGGCATCCCGCTCGGCTCATAGGCGTAATTGACAAATGCGGTGTTATTCGACTCTGTGCATTCATATTTTATTTCAAGGGCAAAGGTGTCATCTTGATAGCGGTAGTAAAAAAATGCGCGAGTAGTCGTTTGAATCGATGGAGTTTGGCGATTGGCTCAATGGTTTAAGTATCTCTATTGCGCTCGCCACACCGTGCTCTCGCAGTCTAAATACCAATTGATGCTCATTCGTTTAACATGATATTAAAAACGTGTACCGTGGTCGCTTCGTACACCTTGTAGTTCAGTTATATCTGAAACTATTATAAATCGAGTGATCAGCATGTTTGAAACGCATAATCGCTATGCGATAGCATGTCTGCACTTGGTGCTTATTGATCGTGATGGCGAATATCAAACTTGGAAAAACGTGATGTACCGTCGCATATTGCCATCGTTCCGTGCGCGACTTCGTGGCAAAGCAGTTACGTTAGGATTTCAATGCTTGATGAAGCAAGTTTTTGTGAACATTGCGAGCTTGATTTGTGCTCGCCTTTTAAGTCCTGGCATAATTTACTGACGCTAGCACACTCCAAGGAAACGGGTCCAAATTTGAGTGGGAAAGAATGACAAACCGTGTCATTTCTTAAACCATCAGCCGCTGTATGTTGCCTTGAACAAGATTCGCCAATCTGCTTTGTAACTCTGAAGATGCCAGTGGATTTTAATAGTACCTTATAGATACCAATTTTCTGATGCCCTTCGATGGGTGGAGGTCCCGTTATGCAACGACCTCTAAATTTACGTCGACGGACTTACTATGATAGGCGTTCAGAGTACAAGGTATGTTACGTGAGCGATATTAGGCTCGGCTTTTCAATTCATACAGAAATATGCGGGAACTCGAACACGATCGAGGTTGCACGTCGCCGTACTTGGGACGCAAGTGTCTTTTAAACTTGAAGATACATTACTAAGTCAATTATCAAACACTAGCCTGGAGCTGGAGGGTCCATATCTATCTTAGTAGTACCCGGTCGATCTATAATCCCAAAAGTGCCGCCATTGAGTTCTTGATTCACGCTTTTGTTCCGGTCAATTCCGTTCCAAAAACAAGATACAGCAACCATCTTAGAATCTAAGTCGACCGTGTAATCTGAGAATTTGATGTCATAAATTTGCCATTCTTACCAACTGCTTGTCGGTTCCTGTTTAACAGTTAAACGTAATACGCTGTTGACCTAGCTCGAATAGTCTCTGTAATCCGGGCGTGGGTGATAGTCAATTTTCGAGGTTCTCTACCAGATTAAAATGGAAGGGCCTCCTAGCCTTTTGAAGTTTTGTTTAAAATTTTGATTGCAGTGTTTAGTTGTAGGCTAATAAAGATCGTAACTTGCCACAATTTCATGTTTGTCAGGCCACGCTATACATTTTTATGCTTGTATATGCCACCGCAGCGCATTATTCGTTCGCTTATAAAGCGCATAATTGGTGTGCCGCATGGTGACGACGCAGACATCAAGATCGTGTTTATGCACGAGCAGGCAGGCAAATGATCTATTTCTGAGACTCATTAAAATATACAATTTGTGAGCATCGTGCTCCTTTTTCATTCTTTTTGTGCCTTTTGGGCTTTGAACAATGTAAATTGATTTGCAAATACAGGACAGTAAAACCTGCCTTACCTACTGCTGCCTCAGCTAATATGAATCGATGTGAGGTGATCCATATCATAGGTCCTGATGACAGGCGCATACAACACCATTACGCCTCTGTAGTATGGCACCCGGTTTTGGTCCTTTGTATGTGCTTCTCAGAACGATGAAAAATACGGGTCATATTTCATTCCACAGTTTCTGATAGCCCCAGATCCTGTCCATCACCTACTACATCGTTCTGCTCATGTCGTCCTCTCTTTTCACCTGTGGCACCCACAATGATACGAGAGTATACACATGTATTCACTGCATTTCTATAGCTGATATGGAGAAAGTGCGTTACTGTCGTCTCCGAACACAGCTGTAAAGTAAGTCTCAATAGGAAGCATCCCAGATCCGGCGGATACTTGCCATCGTCGTGTTGATCAATCGAACAAACTACACAGTTCTACTGAGTTGTCGTAACAGAAATATGTGAAATCTGCTATGATCCGTTGATGGGATTCTGATCCAAATGCTTTTTTTCAGCTACAAGGTCTCAATGGTAGGGGTCAATTTTCACGTGACTGATAATCGATGATTCGTCCCTTGACTGGAGACTACACTCCATTACAATGCATACGATGGTTGTGAATTTGCACCAAGTCTCCATGCCGGAACCGCAAACAAGACTGCTTGCAACATTTTTAGGTTGTCGGGACCGGTCAGCATTGTCCTCCATCCACCGCCAGACGTATGCTAAATAGGTCTGGCGGTGGATGTTCAGGATGAGAGGAAATCTGTGCCAGCCATTTGAAGGATGAGTGTCTTTAAATATACGAATGCGAAAAAGTATGTCGCTAAGGTTTCTGCATTGCTGCAAAGTGCACCTTTTACGCGGGTTGTGGTGCGAATATCAGTTTGATTAATGTCATGCAGTCCGCCACAGCAAAATAACGTAGCAGTACGCGAATTCAGTTTGACAGATAAATTTCTTAAACTGATAAATACTGTGACCCCCAAGGATGTCAATTTAAACAGGTCCTGCAACAAAGTGTCGACATAAAGGTCAAAGTCAAATTATTTAAAAGGTGGCACTAAAAAATGGCACCTCCATCTCAAGTTCTTACATTTCGTGGCCACCGCAAGTCGGTGAACACGCTACTCTGCGAAGAGGCTACGCACCCGAACGTGCTGGCCTCAGGCAGTGACGACGGCACATGTCGGATATGGGACATACGGACCACGCGAGTGACTAAGTGTCTAAACGTCAAGAAGGTATTGTGCACTGATAGAGAGGATGAGACTGCCGTCAACTCGCTTGCCTTTGGAAAGTCAACGGCAGGGGCGGAGAGTGCTTACATCTACGTGGCAGCAGGTAGGAAAGTGCTGACGTTTGACATGCGGTGGTCAGCACTCATTGTTGACTGTGTAAGTCGAGAGGTCTTTCCAGACAGCGAAGATGAAATTAACGTTCTCTCGCGACATCCCGGCAAGCACGGCAGATATTTGTCGGTTCCAGACGATACCGGTAGTATCCGTGTGTACGATCTGGAAAGCCACTGCTTGTTTAAGACTCTGCGCGGCCAGCATACCAATATCTGCAGCGCTGCACAATTTCGCCCGAACGCAGCATGGGATCTAGTGTCCGGCGGTATGGATGGCTTGCTGCTATTTTGGGATTTTTGTCGGGGTCGAGTAAAGTCTCGCATCGATCTCAACATGTTGGAGGAATCGGGTACCTGTGCTACAGCTAGCGATGAGGGCGAAGGATGCAGCACACAGCAGATGTTTAATCCGCCCTTAGTGCATTCGATCGTTTGCGCGCCGAACGGAAAGTCGTGCGCGGTTGGTCTGGGAGATGCCAGTGTAGCAGTTGTCGATTTTGGTTCGAAGCAGATTGTGCGTCGCTTAAAACACCACAAGGCCATGGTTTCTCAGGTTCACTTTCCAGCCTTTTGCCCGCAAGACCGGCTACTTTCTGCCGCCAACGATGCGAAGGTGTGTTTGTGGAACTATCGCGCAGCCCTCTCGCTTGACGCGCCCGTTGGTTGCGGCGTAAGTGAAATGTCCAGTACTTTGGTGGTATAGGAGTTTGTGCTGGGTAGGAGCCCGAACGCCGTCGTCACCACGAGTCAGCACAGTTTAGTTGTAGTCGCAGACATGTCCAAGATGATATCAGCGCTTTCGGTCGTGTAAGAAATACTACATGTTGCGGGTGTTTTCCATTGATTGCAGGATAAACAATCATTCATGGTGTACACAGCCGAATCAAATGGATGTTGTCGCCTCAATGAGCACAAAAAGGAAAAGGCTGATCTTGTTTACACGTCGATAAACGACTCATCGCGAATTCAACCACGAGTTTTGTTTTGTCCACACCATTCGGACAATGCAAGGCTAATATAAACCGTTTATACGTATGCGTTTAAGAGATTGCGCTTTGCAATTTCACCGCACTTATCATACAAAAAAGAAAAAGAAAAGAGAAGCCTCAGTCTTCTTTGTGCACCACGCGATCAGCAGCTGATTGCATGGTGCACAAAGAGGACTTCCCAGCCAGAGTAAGAGGACAGGCCGCCCGACTCTTTGTAGACATCCGTCACTTGGCCGTTGTTGTACGAAGGCGAAAAATCGGAAGTGACCGAACCATTAGGTGGACGAGTGTTACTTGTAGATGCAGTTGGTGTAAAGGGGTTACACGCAGTTGGGTACCTGGTACCCTGTGTATTAGACACACGGAGATGTCTCACTGAAAGAAAGATGGAATATCTTATCGGTTTATAGGGGATGACTGGTGTCAGCCCACCAAATAGGAGAAATCTTAGTTGTAATAACTTAGCCCATAAGTGTATAGATTAGGATTACGATATTCTGTACGTATAAATGTAAAAAAAATTCAGTACCCCTTTTGATCTTAAAGACACGTGCCTTGCGAGGCGTCTTTGGTCGTTGATTACTGATCCCTTTGAGTTAGCAACACCTCCTTGAGGTAGCTAGTTACTCGTGAGCACTAAGTGCTGTCAATTCACTGGATCGTTTGGTCCCTTGAAACAAGGACCACAAGCTTTACGCTTGCTGACTCATTGTGAATCGGGGCACCCTGAAGCTTGTACTGGTGACAGTACAAGCTACTTATTCTGATGACAGAATAAGGCGGTGCTTCGGAACTTCACGTACACTCGTACGTGCAGAGGAAGACGGTATGAAGAAGCGAGTACTTAGTTTAAGTAAAAAGTAGAACTGTATTTATCATGGTTAATGTCTGCAATATATCACTATTTATCCTCATCTAACTATGTCTGAATACAAATGTGCATATCAACTATCTGCTCACCACTCATTGCGTGCGTCTGTCGTGGTGCGTCTTCGTTGGTTGATATAATGGCCTATATCAACCAATTAGGAACTACTCGTAAGTGCTACAGAATATTTGTCCTTATGACAATATTCTGAGAATATAACTCTTATAGTCATATTCTATTAACAATTTCTTAAAAATTGTTATGTAACGATTCACTTCGTTACACATTGAGTTTATTTCTTTAGAAATAAGCAGCTCGTTGAGCGTTAAGTCTTCCTCTGACTTAAGGAGCTGTTTAGCTCCACTACACTTGGTACCACTTGTTGTCAATCTAAGCCTGAGTCTATTTAGATTGATCCTCTGTGAGGATAAAAAGCCCCACTCCCCTCTCTGAGGCCTAAAAGGTCGCGCTTGATAAGATGACCTTATCTTTGGGTCCAGAGTACATGAAGTTCCTTGTTTCACAAGGCCCTGAAGTTCAAAATGCACGTGTTTAAGGCTTCATACAGTATGGAGCGACTTTTTTAAGGCAGGTCCAAGACCAAATAGCGTCGGATATGCCTACACGCTATGTGTCTGTACCAGACGAAGAGGCTAGGCTTCGTCCACTTAGAGTGGAAGTAAAGAATTACTCCGATAAGGAGGTAGAAAACCTCATCCTCTGGATCCGTGAGATTTAGATGGCCATGAGATCAGGCCTGATCAAGCTTGAACATCAACAGGTGTCACTGGCTATCTCAAGCTCGATGAAAGAGCTAGAGAATGGGCCCTGACGTGTAGCACGTCGGTTGACTTAGCATTCCCCACAAGGGAGTCACTTAAGTCACAATTGGTACAGGTGTTCCCACCACCTAACCAAGCTTACCGCGTACATTCACGCTATTTATCTACCCGTCAGGGTAAGAATGAGTTATCGGACTGTGTTTAAGAGTTGAGAACTCTCATGGCTGCAATGCAGTCTGACCCTCTGCCCGAGGCAGTTCGTCTGACTATCTTCATTGAAGGTCTGCGTACTGGCATTGCCAGAACCGAATTTTTTGGGTTCACCCCTCTACGTTCGAACAGGTCGCGAAAATTTCTCTTAATGCTGAGCATAACTTCAAGTCGGCCAGGCTTGGCTAATATGGGTACAACCCTAGTTCTGAAAGCAAACTCCACCAGTGGTCTAGCCTTTAACAGGCCGAAACCGATGGATCTCAGCTATGCTGAAGATGAAGGTGTAGTTGAACTTTAAACTGCTGAGCAGCAACGCGTCGTACAACGATGTTTTACGTGCGGAAGCACTAAATGATTGCGGCACATTGCCCTTTGCGTAAGCAGCGTCAGGCTACAAGTCAACATTCAATCCCGAGCCAGAAGTCTGGAATGGCACTGGGAAATGCCGACGCCCGGTAGGCGCGGGGCGCCCTACTGGGGAAGAACTGGGTTCTGTTACACATTTAAAAGTTAAATTTGAGCAGGGATTAGCCCCAAAGAGCTCCTTTCCTATTGGTATGAAGCGTTCATACAAGTACGGCTTTTTGGTCGCCGAGGCAAAAATTATGGGCTGAGAGAAGCTTTGGTCGATATTGATTGACTCTGGAGCGTCTTGTGAATATGCTATACATCGTTCCCTATAGGGAAGTCAGCGTTATGCTGAGGCTCTTACAGCGCATGAGGGTGATTCTATCACGGTTCGTTTAGCGACTGGAAGTCGTGTTACTGTGCCTAGAGTTCCTTTGAACTTAAAAAGACAGTTTTAAGACTTTGACAGCACTGAACGCTGTCTTGTCCTTGACTTGGACTCGAGATATGATCTCATCCTTGGTATGGCTTGGCTTGAACGCCATGAGCCATGGATTGATTGGAGGTCTAAGGCCTTAGGTGACACGCGAAAAGTTCGTAGCAAAGTTTTGAATAGTCATGACCCCTCTTTCGCTAGGCAACAGGAGCAATACTGGCGCGAGTCTTTGACAGAAGATGTCCATGTGCTGGACATTGGAATGTCTAAGTTGTCTAACTCCAATGTTGTAAACATAGGTTTCGAGCGTAACTCGTTAAGTATCGGAGATACGGAACGTACTCCGTTGAGTGTTACTCGTTGTTACAAAAAGTCACTGAATGCTGAAAGCATGGTTGGCCTAGGGCCGGATTATCAAGGATGTGATTCCTTTGATGTGTGTGAGGTGGCACGTAAAAATCCATCAAGTATGGTCGGCCGTGAAGGGAACCACACTTCATGTCGGTTATGACATTGTTGGCGAAACCTCGTTCAGTTCAGGGCTAGGCCCGCATAATGCATGTGGAGTTGCACGTGAAAATTCACTGGGTGATAAGATCGGTTAATTTTACACTTCACCGGATATCGGTCAATACATCGGCTCTAGTATAGAGCGCACTACTGTTAGTAGTAGCTGCTCTGTGTGAGCTAGACGAAATGTCGGATGGCAAGTTTAGCCAGGACATAAAGGCAGAAGATTTATCCAAATTAGTGGTCATTGAACCCGATGCTGAGTTGGACTCGTTCTCATTATTGGATGAGTCTGTCAAAAAAGGCACAAAGGCGGCACTTAGTGCGCAAAGTTGATCATGGATCTTTAAGATCCTTTGGATTCATTTTGTCCTTTGGTTAAGGAATTTCAAGATGTGGTGTGTCACAATCCACCATCTATCTTACAACCTGATAGAGGAGTACGTCATAAAATTGTCTTAGTTTCAGAAACTAAATACTGCTTAACACGGCAGTGGCCTTTGCCTAAAGAACAGTATGACGTCATTGACGATTTCTTTTGTGCTAAGCACGCGGCTGAAACGTTTCGTTGGAGTGGATCTCCCCATTCAACACCGACATCTTATGTCAAGAAGCCAAATGGCAAGTGGTGCGTTGTGCATTCTTATAATAAGCTTAATGTAGTAACCAGACCTGCGCAGACGCCTATTCCTAGAAAGGACGTTCTTCAAAACAATATAGTAAGATGTTCACTGCACAGCGCACTCGACTTAGTCGACGGTTATTACCAGCTGCTCATGCGAGCGAGTGATATTCCGCTAATCTGCGGTGAGTACTACAAGCGGTATGCTCTGGGAGTGGATCGTTATGCCACAAGGGCTGTCTAATGCCCCGGCTTATTTTAACCGTCTGTTGATGCAACTGTTCACACCTCATGGACGTAACGAAAATACGAACTGTGACAATATTTTTGTCTATAGTCGATAAGATGTGGATGACCACAATGAACATTTACGAGCGGTACTCGAGTGCATGCGCACGGATAAATTGTATGCTAATGCACATGAGTTTATCTTTGGTGCAGAAAAGATTCCCTTTCTATAGTGCTTCGTTTGAAAGCAAGGCCTTCGAGCGGACCTCGCTAGTTTAGGTTAAGTTTAGGTTAGGGCCATTACCGATTGGACAGTTCCCGAGAATTAAAAGGACTTATGTAAGTGGCTTGGCCTTGCCAATCACTTGCATAAGTATAGTTCAAATTACGCAAACATGGCCAGGCCATTATCCAATCTCCTTAATAAGGATGTGGATTGGTGTTGGGGTAATACCGAGCACGTTGCTGCTAAAGCGGTTATAATGAGTCTTCTTCCTGCGCCAATATTGGCTTTATCCAATCCTAATCGACCCGTCAGTGTCGTCTGTGATGCATCTGACTTTTCCATTGGCAGTGCTCTGTTACAAACAGATGTTGATGGACGCGAGCGCGTCATTGAGTATCGCCAGCTTAAAGCTGCTTAAAAGAGCCATTCTAGTCCATGACAGAGATCTACTTTCTATGAAGTATGCTCTGGTCAAATTCAG